ATATATATATATAACAAATCTTTAGGAAAAATCTGTCTGCCTTCTCTGAAATGATCATGGAAAATATTGATGCTATATTCATTAATTGTTTTGTAATTTCACCTCGATCAATTTCTCACAAATGGTGTGCTATAATAATCTATATTTTGCGGTGAGTTGACTTCATGTTCAGACTTTTTTGTATCGTACCTTAATCATTATAATTGTTGCAGCAACAACTCATTCTCTATAAACTGAAGAAGAATGCTAAGAAAACATTTAGCTTTATAAGTTAATTAAATATAAAAAACATTTTTTTGATCTCATTTCTGTTCAAGTGTTCTTCAACAGTCTCGTGATTGCTCTTTTCCGAAATTTCTCCAAATTTTTTTGTCATGTTCAATCCGGGTCATTACCAATTTACATGCCGTTAGAAATGCGGGATCCCTGCACTGGCTATTTGTACTTGTTTTTGCGTTGTTGAAGGTTCGTTTACATTAATGAAATATCATCTCTAAATCAACACGGTGTTTTATAACAAAAAATTAAATTTATGTTTTATTTGTCATTTTTTTTGAAATACTTATTGCGTTGCATTTAAGCAAATTTTGGTAAGAAAAATTTTGTTATAAATTTTTTCACGCATTTTCATAATTCTGTAGATGGCTATTATGAGGACAAACGATAGATCCTGCAGTGAACTTGTGAATGCTCTGTTAAGTGCATGTACCAACACACTAACATCTGTTGGCCTTACATGGAAGCAGCGTTGGGATGGGTCACTTTATGAAATATTAGCCACAGAATATGGTCTTAGTGGCCTACCTATGGAATTGGTCCGTATAGTTTTTAATTTTTTAGAAGATCGAATAGTTTTTATATGTTCACATTTCTGTAGTTTTTCAGCTTAGAGATAAACCGTTTATGATACATAAATTGTATTGCTGCATCCAATATTTGATTTTTAATATTTTGATAATTTTTGTTAGGTCATGTATGAGTGGCCTAGATCTGTTCTTTCTTTGTGGCAGCGTGCACCTGTCAATTCAAAATTAAATGATTGTAAGTTTATTTACTTTGAAATGATGCATTGTAACCTTAGGAAAATTTATGCAGTGTAAAACTACAAAGAAACATACATACCAGTCGCTGAAATTTATATACCACTTGTTTCATCAAATGTGGGCGTCTTTAAAGCTTGGTTGATTATGTTTTAAGAATATTCAAGAAAATTTTCAATATATTATTTAAATATTTCTTTCGATGTCTTCATTTAATAAAGTATTACGTCGATAAGATACATTTTTCTTTTTCTAGCAAATGAGCTAACACATGCTACACCTTTCCCTCCAACTGCACCAGCATTGGTTGCTTATAAATTAGCTGCTGCTTACGGGAACGGGCTTAGCGAAGTGAAATCAATGCAAAATTCTGATAGCCAGCAGCAAAAAATCTCAAACATCGATTCAGAAGTTTTCAAAAGTGATTATGCAAGCACGAATATAAGCGAGTTCTCTGCAGCGGTTCGTTTGCTTATCAATATTCATATATTCCTTACTTTGACATCAGTTTGAGATGAGATTATCGGCAACTTAGAATTTTAACTGAATTTGCTTATAAAATTTAGAAATCAATGTAATAAAAATTCAGCTAATCGTTTTGTTTCATTTGATACATTTTCCGCATTTTTTAAATGAATATTAATAATAGAAGTCATCTTTAATGAAAAGAATATAGTTCGTACTAGTCATTACATCATTTGTGAATTTTGGGATATACTGAAAGCTTGTTTCATCACATTTCAAGAAAATTTATGTAGTTTTGTAGTATTTCTATTGATGGTGGTTATGCTTCTGATTATGAAAGAATATAGTGAACTTTTAAAATTGCTAAACTTTAAAGTCTTTTTTTTTTAATTTCCGACTGTTTCAAATAATTTTATTTATAATGATCGCAGCAAAACTGTAAATTTTCTAATGACTTAGATTGTTCTAGGATGAATTGGATTGGCTTGAGCTTTTTAATTTATCAGATTATGGGAAGGAGTCATTTGAAAATAGTAACGAAGGTATGTTATGTAAATTGAAGCTTTTCCTTTTGATTTCCTCTATTATTTATTAATTTCTTTTCTTCAAAATAATTCGAATATTGCAGTTTCAACAAACCCCATCATATATCCTCCAAATACAAAAGTAGCAGCCAGTCGGTTTTCTGCAAATTGTGCCTCCAGTTCTCAACGTGATTGTAAATATCAAACACTAGTAACAGCTACACAATTAAGCGGTTTATTTGAGACAGAGCCATTAACTTTCACTATTATATGTGCTTCAGATCATGTCAAAATGGAAAATTCTGAGACTGGTAACATTTTTTTGCTTTTAAGATCATAAAAATATGTATTTTAACCCTTTGTTTATGTTTTTTGTATCAAATCTGAGTTAAAATTTTAGGAACTGTGACAGAAATTGGTTGTACACTAGCACCAATTGGTCATACAGAAAATGAAGGATCAGTACCTCTCAAAATTATGGATATCAGTCGAACCATATCAAATGAAGTATGAGCTTAAAATTTATTTTATTCTTCCATAGCAAAATTCAGGTACTGAAATTATTGTGCTTTTAAACATACTATTGTGCTTTTAAACATACTTTTAAACATACTTCTCATAGTTTTTAAATGTTCTTCTAGCAAAAAGATCGAGTTACAGTTGAAACTTAATCGTTGTAAAAGCCTAATTTGTTTTCTTATTTTTTTGTCTTTGTTCGTAACTTCTATTTAAGATACCAAGTTATGTGGTCGGAAATGATTCCGTATCTCGAAAACCAGGATTGCAAGATTTAAGCGCAGATCTAAATGCTCGTATGACGCTTATTGCCATGGAGCAAGCGGAAACAAAGGAAGGTTCTGCGGTTGGGAATAGTGATCATAATATGCAAAGTAAAATGTTTATGATGAAAACAATTTCTTTTTCGTTGTTTCATTTAAAACTTTTACTTAAAGAGATACGCAGATGATGGATATAAATAGTGCTGATAATGGCCAGAAAGTTCGTCAAAAAGAATGATTATAATGATGATTTTTAATTCATAATCAATTTTTTCTGTAGCATCTAAAACCACTACTGCGGGAAATGTTGATACTGTTCCACAAGGTTTCGCTACTCAGGGATCATCAGCAAGCACATTTGGTATTCCAACTACACCGAAAACGACACCTTTCATGACTCCGACTCCTCTCTCCCCTTCTCATCTTTCACCCACAAACTCAGGGCCAGATTTAGATTATGTGATGGAAACTGAGCCAACGGTACATAATTTTAATTTTTTTCCTTTAGGAATCTTCCGTTATATTTAAAAGCATGTAATCGTCTCAAAAGCATACTTCATTTTTAAGACATTTCTTGATAACGTGTTATATGGCTTACCCATAATTTAACCAAAGTTGGTGTTGAAAGAAATTTATATTTAATGTAATTTGGTGAAGAATTTGGACTGTTAATTTCATTTATAAATTATTAACGATATATGTGTCAAGAATTTGATGTTATTTCATGTGGTTTCGCACAATCTGAATGAAGGGCTTCATGAAAATAATAGTCGAGGAAATGATTTACGTTCACAAATTCCATCATTTATACCTGCATTTTCTACTGAAACTTTTAAAATGCCATCACAAAAAGTTTTGTTGATGGAAAGAGTCAGTTTTGGTATGTGATTTACCCTTCTGTTGAAAAGAAAATTTTTAGAATTCGTGTTAATGGTTGCTATGTGCACTTTTTTCTTTAACGTTACTTAATCTAGGAAAATCACATAAGTAAGATATAGTTTCAGGCTCTAAAAAATTTGTTATATTGGATTTTGGAGCACCAGTTCTCTTGACTGACTTTTTTATTCCATCAGTAGCAGAATTGGCAGCAATTTCTATAAATGTATGGCTCTTGGGCGAAAATGTTGATGGACAAAGATTATTAATGACAACTGATATTTGTCGGAGAAGCATTGCAATACAAGATCTACAACCTTTAATGCGAATTCGGTTTATGAAAGTGTGTGCTTTGTTTTGATTTCAACTTTTCACAAAAATATTGCAAATAAAATTGTCTTTGTCAATCTAATTTGTTATGTTTTTGTTTAGATAATTTGTTAATGTTATGTTTTGACCACTTAAACTTACAGATAACTTATGTGGGACGGCAGCTCCACAATTCTTGTAAGATACCTATTGGTATGTTTTTCGGACATCGTTACTTTTCATCATGGCAAATTCACTCATCTCCATTCATGCAGAAAGAGTATTTCACTCATTACTCGTCAAACAACCAGATTCAACAAAGAAAAGTGTGTAATAAGTTATTTTTAAAGTGCTGCTGATTTACTTCCGCAGAAATCATTTTCCAGCCCGTATCTGTTTATAATTCTAGATGCGAATTTTTTCTTTTTATTTTTCATTTTATGCTTCTTGGACACTGCCGCTCGGCAACTCAGCCAATACGAGAAATATATTTTTATTTATCAAATAAAATATAAGTAGAATCTTAAAATAATGAATATAAGGTATTTCTATATTTTATATTTATTTATCTCGGATTTGTTGTGCTGATTCTTTTTTTTTTCGTTGTCGTGAAAACCATAGCGATCATCCAATGAGTTGCTTTCAAGCATCTCCTTGAGAACTTTATATAAATATTTTTCATTTATATTTACATTTATTTGTTTAAGATTCTTTTTATACTCTGTTATAAGTTATTATTTGCTTGATAAAAATTTAAGAAGAAAAACACCTCATTACTCAATAGAACATTGCAAAATTAAGTTTTTTTATATCTCTCATGTTCAAACATTTTTATTTCTGTATTTGAATATGTATTTGGAGGTTTTTAAATTGCAGACAGCAGCTATAGTAAATCAGTTGAGACAGCTTTGTGAAGATTTGCGCTGTAGACATCAGCTTGCTAACGCGGAGTTACGCCGTTTAGTAAATGAATTTGCCCGTGAGGATGAAGTAAAGCAAATATACCGTGAATGCGCTGAAATCAGTCTGCAGTGGAATGTTGTAGTGAGATTGGTTCACCGTTTGGAGCTGGATCATGTATTGTCATGTGGTATATCTTCCTTTCAGTTTCAGCGTTTATTTGTATTTATGTTTACAGGAAATGTTCGAGTTTTTTGAAAATTTTTATTTCCATTATACAGATAGAGATTTCGCTCATACAAATCTTTTTGGAATTAATGAAAATTGTAAAAAGACAGATTTTTGCTATAAGTTTTCGTGCATATAGATTCTGATCAAAGTTTGGAGAATGTCTTATATGGGAATTGGGATAACTGCTGTCCAGATCAACTACAAACCATCGCAGTTGAATTGTTTGCTCTAATAACTCAAGCAACTCACTTAATTGATGTGCGAGCAATCGCAGTGGAAACATTTGCCTCTGATCATAAACTTGTAGACCAGGTGAAGCTTAATTTTGCCTGTTATATTTCAATAAATTATAATTTGGCGTGCTGGTAATTTACTCGAAATTACTCATTTCCGATTGTGAGTAACTTTTAGCAGAAATATTTGATTCATGTATCCGTGAAGTTCATTTTGATGTGAATTTACTGAATGTCCTTAATTTTTTTGATTCATTTTTTAGAGCTGTCATCCTAGTGAAGCAAAATATGCCCGACTGAAAAGTAAAAAAGCTCAAAGGATAATTGTAACTCCATCATTTACTGAAGACGTTGTTTTGCAACCGAAATTCAATTTGGATAATGCTGTTACATTTTTTGTCCTGTTTTGCATTCCAGCCGTACCAAAACTACAGGTAACTTATAGCAGTTTTCATTTTTATTTAATTTTGGTTAACATTTTACATTATAAATTCAGGTTGGCTGCATCACCTGGCTTTTCTATCATGGTTCTGAATGTGATTGGTGGCCTTTATTTTTTCCTCGTGTTTTGAAAGAAATCCTTTCTGCACAATTTAAAAAGAATGACCATAGGTATGGCGTTAATTTGTAATACATTGTGAAGCTTTATTTTCCTAGTACTCATAATTTTATGTAAATAAATTGACATCTTGTTGAAGTTATGTTGTGTTGTGATTTAATTATAATCGCAAGTGATACAATGCTTTTTCATCAATTTTCGTTCAAGAAAAATTAATTTATTTCGCTCGGTTTTTTATATCAAATAGCTTTGAGTGCCTCCCTCAAATTTTTTTCTCGTTTCAGGATTTTTTTGCAACTGTCATTCTTATGCACTCATTCAATAAAGTCTAGCTCGAAGCAGGCAATATTTTATATTCCATTTTGTCTAAAAATTTTTAAAAATTCTGTACTAAATATGGGCAGTTTCTCGATTTCTTGAATAATTTTATTTGCAGGCTGCTATTATACTTGAACTTTTCAATCTCATCAATGAAGTAGCAAATAGTGTTTTAAATTATGAAACAGTCAAGTATCATTCTCAACCCAAGCTTAATGTTACCTTACTTTGTTGGTCACTAATGCTTGTTTCGAGTGCATTCGACGTTGTCGCTTCCAGTAAGTTTGTTTTTTCCTCTGCTTTTTGTGATTTCTGTTCTAATTGATAGTTTTTTATAAAGCAAATTTCTTATCTTGAATTGTTCTCAGAGATATATGGTGTAAGCAAAAAATTCCTGTACTACACTGCGGTCTTTTTTTCACTAAGCACCATTTCCTAATTCTGAGGTCAATAAAAATGATTTTAAAAATAAAGTTGGAAGGAATATCACTACTCTGTAGAAGAAAATGCGTACTTAAGCTGATTATCATCGTCTTTCGTGCTCTAAAGATCTATAAAACTAAAGTAGTATCATCTGTTGTTAAAGGCAAAAAGAAAAGTGATCGTTGGACATTCATTGGAGGAGAGTCTTCACGAAAAACATCAAACGAACATGACAGTTCTAGTCTAAAAGTCCATAAAAAGAAAGGGCATAAATTTGGTAACGGAAATGAAAAGCAACCAGAACTTGTAAAAAACAGTAACTCTAAGACCTTGGTAATAATTTATTCTGTTCTTAGAGATCGAGACGTTTTAATTATTCTTTTCCTCATTCAGTTGTTTTTTCCTGAATTAATGTTATGAAGATATCCTGGCACAAATATATATATTTCTAATGTTCTTTTAAGCCTTTATATCCCGATCTGCACTTTGTAACTTTGTTTGCCTTCTTTTATATGTATCATCTCTTTTGGTTCATTCAAGCACTTTCACTGCTGTAAAACAGACTCCGTGTGTGCTAGTATTTTTAAATGTATAATGGACCTGTTCCTTAGCAAGCATTAATTGATAATTGCTGCCTTTCATGAAAGCTGAAAAGCAGTGCGTTATAAATTTGTTAACGAACTGGGTGCGTACTTATGTTTGGAATTGAGGTAGATCACAAATATAAGGAGCTTTGCACAGGACTTGGTGGTCGCTGTGCCAATGATATCTTTCGCGTTTTTTAGAAAACTGAACTCGACTCATTATGGGACAAGCACTTTAAAGTGATGGAAGCAATGAAAGCAGCGAAAATGAAGATGTCTAAGGCTTTAAGTGCCAAAATACAAAAGAAAATTGAGGTGGGAAAGAAAGTTAACAGTTCACCCCCACATAAGATGAGTTCGGTTCGATTTTGTGCATGAAACTGTTGTCTTGGTGCATTATAGGGCGTCTCTTTCCGGGATTCCACTAATTTTTGCCGTTTGATTATTATTATAAACATCTCTTTCAACATATTTAAACATAAGTATGTGATGATTACTAGAAATTTATTTTTGTTAACATCTGGAGAGATTGTGTTGTTAGTATTTACTTTCGTTTCAGCTTGTTGTGTCTCTTAAAAGTGCAGTTCTTTGATTTATTTAATTTGCTTGCTGCCTTCTGTTTTATTAACTTCACTTGAAGATTTGTAGCAAGAGTTTTATCAAACATATTATAAAATTCAGATTCTGTCATGTGTGTTTTTCTGTCATTCTCATCATTGCACATAGACAACAAATATCAGTTAAAGATACTTCTTTTCAGGCTCCAGCTGCTAGCGACAAGACAGTGGAGCTGACTCAGTTAGAAAACAAGCTCTTGGCATTCTTTGCTGAGGAGGAAGCTGAAGAAATTATGAATGAGGTAGCTAACTAGTGCAGATATTAATTAAAGTTGTTTGAAAGGAATCATTTCTGAAGCAGGTCTTTTCGTCGTTTAATATCTTGATATCACTGCAAAAAAACTGCTTTTTTCATGTAGGAGTAAAATATAGTCCACGAGAAGCACCCATTTTTTCACTGTAACACTTTTTAATGGTTCTTCAAAGAATTAAATGTTCAGGTGCATATTCATAATAATCTATTTTTGACTTCTTCAGTTTCAATATTACAAAAATTCGAATTATTTGCTTTCAGTATTATTTGGCCCCGGCACAAGCAAACGATTTAGGTTCCGTCGATTCATGTTTGTTTTTTCTAATTCTGTATAAAATTCAAAGATGTGTCTATGAATTAACCTTCTCAAAAACATGAATTCAACAATCAAAAATAGTCATATAGTCAATCTCAAACATAAATTTTGAGGACAAGTATTTGAGAAGAAGTTATAATGCTGCATGACTATTCTTGATTTCAATTGTTGAAATTTTCAGCCGAGTCAGCTTTAAAAAAGGCAATATCAGGAGCTAACAAGAATCATTCGCGATCTTGTCGATCTAGAAGATATAATATTCGTTTAAAGCTCCCAGTTCAGTCATGTGCAGAAGTTACAAAAAATTTGGCCTCCTTACTGTGCAATTTCAATCAGGAAATCCCAATTCTGCCCAAATTATTGATTTGCAAGGTAGGGTTAATTGATATTTTATTATTAGATATGCATTTGTTTGCGGTATTTCCGATTATGTCAAGGTTCAGAAAAGGAAAAAAATTTGAGATTTCATGAAATGAAATCTGAAATTGAGCATTTAATTAGGGCATGTTCTATTTCAGATTGTTGCACGCATATGCATTGGCGTTTCTCACCATACTATTCCTTTAGTTTATGTATTGGAAGGTCAAATTGACAAATTTATAAGGATAGGTAGGCCTTTTTTGGCTTTGCTTGATATATAAGGAATGTAGATTAGTTGCTATGTGCATTATGAGATTAATGTATTATTTTTAAAGTGAGTAGGAGTATAGTAATCTTCATCCTTTTCTTTGTTGTAAACTCAGTTTGTGCTAATGTTTTTGGATTCATTATATGATATTGTCAGGATTGGAAGAACACAGGACTGGTTTGTTGAAGTATGCAATATTGCACTCGATTTTGGATGTTATTGAATCAGAATCTCGTGCTATTGCTAAATCATCTGTATCATCAGAAAAGCAAATTAAAAAAGAGGGCGATTCAATACTCGAAGTGGAAGAAGAATTGGATGTGCTTTGTATGCGTTATACTGGATGTCATTTTGTTGATCTTGCTTTCCAAGGTGAATTTTTATGTTATAATGATAGTGCATACTTTTCCGTTCATTCTCCAAGTAAAATTTTTGGTGACATTAAACCATTTTTACATGTTGCGTTAAAAAATTTTTATTGCAATAAAAACGTAAAAGATCATTGTTTCTATCCATTCAAAAAAAGGTTTTCAATAATATAGTCCAAAATTTTGTGAAAAGTGATAACTTAGTATTATACCGCAATTGTACATTGGTGTATATAATTGGGAGCTAGTGCGTAAAGTATAATTTATTGTAGCAAAATCCAAGAATGACGCTTCTGAAGATGTAGAAGGGCGAAAATCGACTGGTATCACGGCAATTGTTTGTTGTCTTCCTGACGTGTTCAGCTCAGCGAAAACATCTCCAGCCTTCAGTATCGCAAAGTGAATATTACTAATTTAAATTTTCTGATTGTATTTAATAAGAATGCTTCCTTTATGACTCATATAGTGCTGTCCATTACATTAGTGATATGCTATTAATAAAACAGGAAATCCATTTGTATAGTTATCCTATAATTTGTCCATAATTAACGACAGCAAATTGTTTATACTGAAATTTGCGTAATACATTGCTTGATTTTCAATCTGATCATGTTATATGGAATGTAAAAATTCTCTCTGATGAGTTTGTAATGTTTTGTAGCACACTATTGACATAACTTTGGAAATATTTCAGGAACTTTTATCTAAAAATAACTTTTTTCAGTTATGATGAGCAGCCGGAATTAGGTTCAGAACAGTTAGATCTGTTGATATCTCAGGCATTGTTCAATACTAGACAAGCAGTTATACCAAATGGTCCCAGTGATGAAATTCGAATTCATACTTACCGAACAAAGTTAGTCATTTTTTTGTAACCTTTGTATGTATGCATTATCAACAGTTTTTATGGCAATTTTGTTTTGAAATTGCTTTTTTTATCAATATTACTTCATTCTGATAAGTGTTGTAGGATATTCAATAAAGGTATACCTAAGAAAAGAGTTCGTCATTGTTTGTATTTATTTTATGTCATGTTTATCACTCGTTTGTAGGGCTAGAGAAATTATCAAGGAAAAGCTTTCTAAGGGCGAGAAATTTTACTATTTGTTTCGCTGGATAGACGATCTGCTAGAGATAGAGGAACAAGCTGCTCGATCTTGCAACGGTGTACGTTAATTATCCATATGTGCTGGGCATGAATCTTTTAGTTGTGAAATGACCGAGAGTTGCTAACTTAATAATCATTTTATGCGTTAATAATTATATATGCAACTTTTCGATTATTTACTAAAATGCCATTGTCGGACACCATTCCTTTCAAAATTCTGTGTCAGGAGGATTGAATTAGAAGTTTTATAGCTATTATTCGATCTTTTAGTTTCTTAATCTTGAAGACCGTCATTATTACATGTTTATGAAGTCAGAAATATAAAATTCTCACGTCTTATTTTTAGAATATTTACTGCGAGAATTTAAGGTTTTTGAACAAATAATTCATAGTTGACTGTGGTTTGTCTACTAAATTTTGGAGCTTCAGGATCCAGAAACATACGTAAAAATGTTGAATAGTCAGATCTTACCGAGCAGTTCTTATGAAGAACTCACAACTGTATCAAAATCTGCATTTCTGGCTTGTTGTTTATCAGAATACCTATACTCTATGAATGACCAACGATGCGGTCAGTGTTATTTTTCAAATTTACAGGCTTCTGGAGTTTGATTTATACGTTTTCGCAATCAAATTTCGACAAAAAACATTATCGTTGTTCAAAAATGTCAGTAGTAGTTAGTTTAGAAGAGTCAGTGCATGGTTTTGGAAGTTGTTCCCCGGTAACAGGACCGAGATCAAGCTCACCTTCATCTTCCGGTTCTCCAAGATCTCATACAGATGTGGAAATGAAAGAAAGTGAGACAAAAAGCATGCGGAGTGGTGAAGCTATAAAAATGTCCAAGAATTTGGATGACTTTGCCAATTTGATTTCTCATAGTATCACTGAAGGTTGTTTTTGTTTTTTGATTTTTCGATTGTCTAATAAAAGTTTTTGGAGCGTTAATTTTGTTATATTCTATATTAATATATGCGTGATGCTCTTCAGCATTAAGTTCTCCTTCTGATTACAATCTTCTCGAAGCTCAATCTTCAAAAGTTTCGACTTCAGCTGCAAGTCCTTCTGCAGAAGTGAGGAGTTTTACAAATTTTAATGTAAATCTCGGCTGACACAAGTTTCTGAATATTACTCGTACTAATGTTTTAGACCTCGCTTATTTAACAAATTTAATATTAAATAGAGTCCTGTTTAAAAGTTCTTATTATGAAATGCTGTCTAATATAATGTTGTTTCAGGAGCAGTGCTCTTCGGCTACCTCTAGTTTGTCAAAAAGTAAGATAAGAAGAGCCATAGAAAAATGGGTCCCAACGAAATGGATGGCTAAAATAGCTTTGAATAAAGAAGAATATATGGAGCATATAATGGCTAGCTTTCTGGTGTGTTTATTTATCAAATTATTAAGTTCTACGCTAGTAAAAAGTGTGAACAGAATGTTGAACGGAGAGTTTTTCAACCTGACTGTTTAGTAATCATGAAGACCCAAATTTACTTTTTTATTTTATTTTTATTTTTTGTATTTTAGGCTCTAGAAAGATTTTAGAAAATCAGCATTAAAAAAAAAAGTTGTTTGAAACGACATTCACAGCTTTTATCCTAAAATTTACTGAACTGAGTCATTTATTTGACTTGTAATTAAATTATCTTTTCGTTTTATTTTATACTGCTGCTTTGATTAGATAAGTAATGGACAATAAAGATTAGTTATCTTTTTTCAGAGTGAATTACGATTGACAAAAAATAATGTCTTGGTACAGCCTTGTTCTTTTTCATATGCGGAATTCTTAGGTCAGCAGTTAGGTTTAAGTCAACATATCTGTTGCATGAATATTGATTTTCTTGCTGACCTGATTACAAGGTTATTTATTTTTTTGTTCATAATACTGAAGCCCCAGTTCAATTAGAACGAATTGAGAATATAGTAAAACTCGACAATAATTTGCAGTTCTCGGAATAACCTTCGTATTTTTCATGCAAAACATAAGTTTCTACAGGTATTCTGTTCGAGATCTTAGCAAATGGAAAGTTTGTCTCCCACCTAAACTTCAACTTTCTGATAACGAGATTGTGCGCAAACAAATAGGAGGAACTCTTAAGGCAGCCAATATTGCTCTGGGACGATTTATTGAGTCTATATCATCAAGCGACTCTGTTGAATTTGTGCAGAGACTTTTGAATTTCTGCTTGGATTTTGATTCAGGACTTATTCGTAAGATAGTTTTTTGAAAAAAAAAGATATTAAAATTCAGTAGAGTGAAATTATTCTTATTATATTGCAAGGTTATTTTATTAATTTCAGATTGCTGTATTATTAACATTGTCTTCAAATAAAAAGATTTCGTTCTATTTCCTTTTAATTTTTACTTTGTTTTTATTGCTTACTTTAGTCACTTTATTTCTTTTCTTCCAACAAAGGTAAACCTGTGCAAGGTTGCTGGGGATTTGCCAAGTAATTTGTTTTTTAATTTAGATGCTACAAGAAAGTTGCCCACAACTAATCATCACTGCGTCCTTCCTGCTAATTGCATAACATCTGTTGTAAACTACGCAGTAATGTCAAATTCACTTCCTGAACATATGTGGGCAGTTGTATTGAAGATATTGGATCTCATTATGAAGAATAACGTAAAAATATTGCAGTTTTAATTTCCTAACAGCATACATGTGGAGCATTGCAAATAATTCTGCATGATTTTATTAATTTATCAGGAAACTCTCTTTTTCTCAAACTCTGTTAATTGTTTTATTAATCAAATTGTCATTGCTGATCTAAGAAAAGAACTGATTAATTATGTAATTATTATCAAAATATGTAGCAGTAGCTATAGCTTAAACTTTTGTTTAGCTATTCCTAAGAATAAAAGTAGATTGTAGAGAAGAGCAGTGAAAAGAAAAAAATGAAATAATTATATAATTATATCTAAATTGTATTCATATAACTGGACGAAAAGTTCATTTAATTAATAATGATAAAATAAGTTATTTTTCTCTTTAACACTTTTTGTTAAAAATTATTAAAATAAATTTCAGTTTGTAGCTTCAGCCCTACTAATAAACTCGACTCATTTTTGCAAGTTAGTCGGTAGTTTCCTAGTGAATTGCATTTTGCGACCAAATCAATCGTTAGGGGCAAGTTATAATTCTTTTCGAATTAATTAAAAAAAATTTTTTTTCAATAAGTTGTTTCAGCGTATTTCATAAACTCTTTAATGATTCATTAATGGATCTACAGTTAACATAATTTACTTCTCATGAAAATTTTCATTAAAACTGAATATTATGACATGAGTATGCAAAGAATTTTTTTAATGAAAAAATTTCTCAGATCTGAAAATTTCTGTTACTATGATTAGGTTTTTTTGATTTGTTTGTGAAACATTTTACGCATTATTTGTTTCAGATTGGTCCTTCTACCGTAAATGCCTTCAAAAATTTTTCCAGACGACTCCATGAGACGTCTGATATTGCTCTTCGAAGTGTTCTATGCGTCAAAATTCTCAGCATTCTTCGACATATTTCTTCAGAACAGTTTTGTCTTAGTATCTCTATAAGTAATAACGATTCTGAAAAATTGTTCAAAATTTTTTGTAGACATTAAATTCACGAACTGTTAATAAGAGGTAGTGTATCTAGTATTTAAACCACTTTTTTAGCTGCATGACTAAAAACGTTCTAAGAAGAGAAAAGCCACATCAAAATAGTTTCATTTCGCTATGTAATTCTCAAAAAATTTTTATCTACAGGAGTGATTTGATTAATTTTTTCTATCCAAATGACTGTTTGGTTGAATTGCTGAGTATTATGTTGAATTACACGGATGACTATGCCAGCGTAGCACGTAAGAATAACATCATTCGATTAAGTCATTGGAACTTTCAGTATTGTAAATGCAGAAAGTGCTGATCTATATTTGTTACATATTTATGTGTTTGAATTTGTTTTAAATGAATCTGAAATTTGCGGTGTCTCCTAGCAATCAGTTAAATCTGCAGTATAGTCAAGATTTTTTTTTCAGAAAACTGGGAATGACTATTTTTAGTCTGTTTATATCTAAAATTATTTTGTACAATTTATACATTTTGCGCTAGAAACAGTATCAGAATTTCCTTTCAGCTCAAGAACTTGCTAGCTATATTTCATCATCGATTCACGCAGCGTGTAACTTCATCAATCAATTTAAAGCATCTAAAGGCTGCATAACACTAATTTCTGCAGATTCCTATTATCGACCGAACGTCTGCTTTCAGGTTTCTTTTATTCTGAAGAGCACTTATTTGTTGCGTTTTTGGTTCAGCATATGCAAAATAATGAAAATTATATTGACATAAGTTGATTTTTTGTTAATTTGTGTCTTTACTATTTTTAGATTACATTAAAAAACGGTACAAATGAAAATGGTGACGCATGGCCACAGCAGTCTGAAATGTTGGGGCATTACGGAGCTCTCTGGGCTCATCAAGTGGGTGTTACATTTATTAATAACTTAGTCGAAAGTATTTGGTAAATTTTCATCCATTTACTTTCAATTTTTATGGGTTTTCAGCATCTTGATTCAAAGAGGTCTGCTGCACCTGGTAGCGAGTCATCAAGTTCTTGCCCTTGGCTTTCTCGTCGTCAGTATCAGTCAAATATATTTTGTGAGGTTTGATTTACAAGTTTACATTTTGGGTAACGTGACTGTGTATTGACCGATGAAATTTTAAGAAGGATAAAGCAGAGTGATAGCGATGTAAGCAAGGAATTTTTTTCATAATCATCAGTATTATTAATTTGCTATTGCAGATACCTATGATAATCATATTTTAAAAGCAAGCTATCAGAATGATGAAATAAGCAAAGTTACGCTAATAAATTACAGATAGCTCGTTATATGGATCGTTCAACAAAAGTGTCTGATTATTTAGTGCGCAATTTTCCTGCAGCTATCGAGAAATTATTTGAAATTGTTGCATCATGTGAAAGTGCAGTTCCGGATATAAACTTAATTTCGATGGAAAAGTTAGTATATGTCCTGGATTTCTCTACAGTTCTAGTATAGTAATATGATTCGGCTGCGAAGAAATATTATAAAGATTTAACATCTCATTGCATAAACAAATTCAGATTGAAAAGTGTAAGTTATTTGTTTGAGAGACAGAGAAAGCAAAAATTATATGTTTCAGCTGGACCTGCGTAACTTTAGGTGATCATGCGCTATTTATTTTATTGAAAATATCACAAGAGACACTTGAAACTAAACTCTTCTGTGAAATAGCTGTGAGAGCAATAAATCAATGCACGAATCCACTCAGTAGTTCAATTTCGAAGCCTCTTGCATTTGCCTTCGTACAAGTGCTAAAGCATAAGTATAACCAAGCATGGTTTGCCAGACTTGGTTAGTTATTCTGAAGTTATCGTGCATCATAATGTAGATCCAAATCTTTTTTTTTTTTTGATTTCGCAATCTTTTCCTCAAAACTTGGCGATTTTGATATAGTTTAATATTCTTATACTTCAGGTTTTTTCGTAATTCTAGTTTTTATAATATTCTTATACTTCAGTTTCTTCGTAATTCTATGGAAACTCAATGGCAGTGCAGTCCGTTTAATAAGTTTTTGTATTTAAAATAAATTGACATCAAGTTTTTTAAAAACATGAAGTCAGTTGGTACTTCAGATGTCTTTGTCATCAATTGATGAGCGTGTAATTTTTTTAGGGGGTCATTTAATCGTAGCGCGTGAATTGGAGCGTTCTATATTGTCATCAGCAAATGATTGGACAGCTCCGGTCACTGCGTCGCTGATGCGACAGCTTGCTTCACTTTCTGCTCAAGTAGCTGGAAGTAGCAATCAAGGATGGCCAACGTCAAAGTTACTTGCAGATGGGCGAGTAGATGCTCTACAAAATTATGCGCCATATTGTAAACGTTCTTATCAATTCAATCATTTGGATAGAAGAATGAAAATATAAGAGGAGGAATGAATTTGCAAAGTATTTTAGCGTAGGAGATTATAATGATTTGAGCTATTAACATTTTTTTAGTTTTTAAGAGAAAAATTCAGCATTTGTTTTTGTCATTAACATTGTTTTCCCCTTATCCAAAATTCAAAAGTTTAAAAAAATTAAAGTTCATAAAAATGTGTTTTTTTCAAAGTTTCTTATATATATTAGGTGCGATAAGTTCTGATAGAGCTCCGAACGTTTGCGGACAACTGTCGTCGCTTATTGGCATTGCTGTACCACGTCGTACTCGCTCCGCTAATTGGAGTTATCATTTTACTGAAGGTGGTGGCGAATGGTTTGATATCACTCTGACTCTACCTCACCATATTATTTTGCACGAAATACAAATACGACCTCATGTTCCTGCTCTTAGCAGTTAGTTTTCTATTTTGCTTTTCCAACCATTTTCCCGAGAAGGATGTTTTTGATTTGATTTCTAGAAAACAAACAGAATAATTCTTGTTCAATTTGTCATTCTAAAACTAACAATCAGTTTGAAGCTGTGTTTTTAATTTTCTTTCCTTTTCAACAGTTTGAAGCTGTTGTCCACATGATTTTCTGAATTTTTTATTTTGTATTGAACTTTAATAATATTGTTAAATATATTTTGCAGCAGCTCCTGCGGCAGTTCATCTTGAGCTATGTTCGGACGCGTCTTTAAATCAGTGGTGTAATGTAGGCGCACCACTTAACACTACGGGATATAGCAAAATTCGCATTTCTACTGAGTCATTTAAACTACCTGTCATTGCTGTATGTTTGTTATAATTATTTAAAATAAACGTCTATTCGTCATTATTTTTAGTTTGAGTATTTGGTCTTTGGGTTTAAGGTGCGCTTGTATCTCAAAAAACCACTAGACTCACCAAATTTATCTTTGTCACAAATATTGCTATTTGGAATGGATTTTACCAGTTCCTTGTCTCGAACCTGTACAAAAAATACAGATTTGTAAGTTTTATTTTTAAAAATTTCCAATAAATACACAGGAGAGTTTACTCTAATTTCTGCTGATAACCTATTAGTTGGAGACTTTTTGCTGTTTTTTATTTTCAATATTAATTAACTTTCATAATTTAAACACTCGTGCTATTTTTAATTGTTCGATATATAGCTTTTTAGTTAAATTTTTCCATTAACTGTGAATTCATAAATATATTTTTGAGAGAAAGCATGCATTCGTGAAGTTAATAATCCATTTGGTTTCATTTTTATTCAATTTTTTTGCAGAAAACTATCACAAAAAATCTTATCTGGAATGTTTAAGAGTATGTAGTTTGTAAAAAGTTGAAAATTCTAGTGTGCAGTGGCTGTCCATTATGGTGCAGTTATGTAATTTCAAAAAGCGCTTCATATGGCAGTGTGCACCAGAACTTCCACGTGCAGTTATAGCTCTTTTTTTGGGCCGTCCTCTTTCTTGTCTGATTTACTATCGGGTCACAGAGTTGCTTAATCACTTGGACGATGAACAAGAAGAACTACATTCTGTTATTAATTTAGTTTTCCACTATACAGGTTCCGTCCATATATGCATCCCTTTTTATTATAAACGTTGAAAAATACATTGAAGCTGAATATTTATGAAATTCGAAAGTTGTTTAGTTCATGTTTTTATTGTCTCGTTCTCTATAAGTTGATAGTTTCAGGTCAAGGTAATATTGTTACGAACGAATCTTTGGAATGGCTTCCAGATCTGCTTTTTACTCTTTGTGCACGAAAGTCAACACGACAAGCAGATCACGAAATATCTATTATCAAACAGGGTCAACTTCTTCGTGGTGTTGTTTCTTTTATTACTTCACAGAACTGCAAGAAATCATCCCGAGTTAGTGTGGCTTTGATTTATGTTATTTTAGGTCTTCAATTTTTTTTCAATATATGTAGTGTAAGAAATGCCATTTTTTGTTTGATATCACTATTGCATTACTTGACTTATTTATTACCGAAAATTTTAAAGAAATTGTCTTAAATTATGTGTAAATTATCATTCAAATTAAAGGGGGAAAGGAAGAATTCAGAATATGCAGTGCTTCAAAAGGAAGGCCGAAAATAACTTTACATTCTTCAAAATAACTTTACATCCTGCTATATAATTTTTTATCTCTACGTATCATTTTTTTAAACTGATTGACTTATCAATTTTCTTATTAAAAAAATCAGAGGGTGGGTAATATTTCTGTCTGATCTAAATGCTCACTGTAATGAAAAAATGATTTAGAAACAGAGTCCTTGGAGTGATCTATTGAAGAGTATTTAGCCTGTTTGTGATGATTATAACTTATTATACAAAGTATTGTAGAGTTTTCAGTCATTTTAAATTTTCATAGTAATTTATTCGGTAGCAAGGATTTTGTTGCTGTTATTTTTATAAGTACTAATCATTCTAGCTCTAGTTGATTGAAGGAGGAACTGCTTTGTTTTTGATCACAAAACTTGCTGTGCTTTAGAACCGTCTGATATTTATGATCTTTACTGATTTGTGAAAATGTACTATTGAGATGAAAAATATCATATGAGGTGTCTAAAATTACATCAAAGTTTGTAAAACTTAAAACATATTCGTGAAAACATTGGTCATTGCAGGATGTGATTGCTGTTTTGATTTGGACTGCTTCTTGCGTTATTTGGCATAATATTAATGTGGAAGAGCGTCGTTTTGCTACGTTGGCTATATGCATGGATTTAGCTCCGCATTTACTGCCGTCTGTTTTATTTCTTATTTTTTACAAAATGTAAAAAAATTTGAAAATCGTGCAGTAAATTTCTAATAAAAATATATGCAGTAATTGATACTAAAAAATTGTGTATTTCAAAATTTTTACATTTTGTTTAGTTGTAGAGTTTTCTGGCTCCAAATGTAGATATTATATTTTTCAATACGTGCATTCTTTTTTGATATATTCGCTATAGAAGATGGCGTTCAGAAGAAATATTATGTCTAGTCAAAGTTTTCTAACATCTGGATATTCATTCAACTGCAGTACTGGAAAAGAAATTGAATTTTCAGATTCCTTTGTGAAATGTCAGTCGATACTAGTGAACACTGTAATGATACATTAGCGAAATCGGCTTCTTGGATGCTATGTTCCCTAGTGCGTGGTGCTCCGTACTTGTTAGGAACTGTATTGAAAGAAATTGGATTGCTAGATGGAAATAATAAACGTCAGTTTTGATTTTCCATCACATACTGAAGTTTAATTTATTCAAAACAAGCTGCAAGCAAGTAAAGAAATAGCACAGATGAAAGATTGACGATTTGAAAAATCGTTTGTATAGCTCTGTCTTGATTTTAGTTTGTTCTCATCTTCATGGACTCGCCACATTTTCTATACATGAAGGCGACATAATTTTTAATTTCAGCGACAAAAGATAACATAACTCACGATGCGTTCTGTGTGGTTCAGCGCATGTGCCAATCTAAAACTGCCATCTCGAAACTTCATTCATTTGGTTTATTCGAAAACTGGATTGAGTTGATTATTACATACAGTGAAGGTCTGTTATTTTATCAGCTTTATTTTCACCTCCAAGTTTAATGTGTTAGGTTGATTGCTTATCACTACAGAATTGTATCTCAAAAATTCAGTGTTAGCACCTTTTCACTGTTTTGTTTATTAGTTAACTGTTAAGAAATATATTTTTTGATGCAGAAATTAAAACATTCTTGACTGCAGTCATTATCATCTGTTTTTTTTTTCATTTTAAGAAGCGAGCATGGCTCATATGTCATTATTGGTCTCCATGGTTCGATGTATAGCTTCTTTATGTTGCATTGAAGATGTTGTCAAATCTTTGGATTCTATCGGTGGTTTTCGTTTTTTTAATTCCCTTATTAAATGCGTTGTTCGGTGTACTTCATTACCTGGCGACATGGTTCGTTCATCAAATAAACAAAGCATCAAATTGGAAGAAGCAACAATCAGTTTACTTTCGCAGTAAGTTGTAATATATCAATAATCAGTTAGTTTGTCATAAAATGAATGAATTTTCGTGAACTTAATGTTTTAATAGATGATACGTCAAAATTAATTCTCAAAACATCAGTGTCCCAAATCCATTTATATTTTGCTTTCTCTGAAATTCGAGGATTATAATGTTTCAGATGTATAACTGTTAATGGAGCCCATCGTGAGCGCATTGCTCATGTGCTGTGCTCTTTACTTAAAAGCATTGGCAGTTTGAATAGTGCCATTCAGCAGATGGTCTTAAAATGTATTTTTGATGATGAGGTACTTCCTGTGAAAGTAGTTGATGAAGATAATACCTCAATTTGCTTTTTGTCGTTCGACATTCCAAGTTTGTTTTACTTTTTTATTCTGTTGTTTCAGAGAAATAATTTCTAAATAAAAAATTTTTGACGTTTATTTTACATCGAAAAATTTCTATTGCATAATTTCAATGAGTAGTTTTTTTATAGATCGCATTCTTCATCCATTCTTTGGTTGCACGCGTAGAGAACGCTTCTTAAAAGTATCCTTATATACTTCTTTAGACGAAATAACTGCATTATCTGAGCATAAAAATTCAACTGACTTGCATCAGCTTGGGAAACTTCCTGTGAGTATCATGTTTTTGCAGAAATATTCTTGATCTCAAAGTTTTTATCAAGGTTTTTATTGGGATATTTCTCTTTTTTAGAATTAAAATTCTCTAGCTAATGTCTTATAACTGAGGTTAATAAATGGCGTTGTTTTCTTTTTATTTTCCAGCTTTTTATATAATTACAATTTGAGATGGGGTACAACTAGATGCTGATCTTTGGGCAAAAATGAATTCTTTCATGACTTTTACTCACAATAACTGGTTGAAAGCGTAAGTGAGCATTGAAAATCATGGTGATAAAAAAAGACCGATCTATGGTTCTTACAGAGAGCAAAGTCATCTTTAATAAAAAACATTAGGGGATCTATGTACTTGGAGAGATATTTTCTATAGAAGGAAGAATTAAATTTTCGCCTTGATTTGTAGCATAGTTATGCTAACAAAATGCAGCCTGGCATAAATATATTCAACTGGTGGATAGAGATTTAATTTTTCAAGGGATTTGTTTTGTCAAGAAAAAGTTGTCTTTACTTCAGAAATGAGTTCTTATGTTAGTTAATTCAGAGTATGGAATTTGGCGGTGTTTGCATCAGGGAGAAAGTGTAGAGATCAAGGTTTTATCCTTTTTTTTTGCTGAATATAATCATATATTTTTTAGGCATCCGCACTTGATTCTCCTCAATTATCATCTGTTCTGAATAATGAAGGTTTGGTTTTCAATCATTCTTATCTATCATTTGTGCTTAACTAATAAGTTATCATGCTTTCAATTCAAATATTACAGCAAAGTTACCTCATCCATTTTCTCGCCTAACACTCAAGAATGGGGATGGTGTGACACATATGGAAGGAAGCTGGAAAGTCGGGCAACTTCTAGGAGATCTGTTTACTTCTGGCCGTTTGACTTGCTCAGCATGGTGAATTCCAATAATTTTCTATTTGATAATTTAATACTTGTTTCAATTTAGTTGCCAGGTATGAAATAAATAGGCTATGTTTTGTTTAGATTGTGGAATGGTATTCTTTTAACGGTGCTAATTCATTTATTCGAAATTTGAAGTGTATGTTTTTGTCAACTAAAAAAATTTGTATCATCTTGAATTTCAAAAAAATATTTGGTAATATATTTAATAGGAAGTTAAAAATGGAGGGTAAAGATGTCCTGAGATCATTGATTGGAGACAGTGCTGATGGCTTCTATACTCTTGTTCTATCGTTTGTCGTACGTTCAGGTTGGTCAGCTAATTTTCTGATTAATGTCATTATGAAGTGTTTCGTATACAGAAATTAAGTTGTGGGAACTACTGATGGCAGTGTTTATGCATTAATTTAAAGTGTTGCAAAATGTCTTATTATTAATGGATGTGTGGCACACTAATGTGGCTTATACTTAAATTGGTAGATGATTGATCTTACTCAGCATTGAAATTTATATTCGCAGTATTATTATTGAAAAAATTGATGATTGCTGTGCAACTTTTTATGGTTTTTTTCCTTTTTTTGCCGAAGTTTTATGAAAAATTTCAAAAAATTACCGTTTTGTGATTGTATCATTTGATGACTTTTTCGATTTAATTTACTTTTGTGAGCTCGATTTACTCAAGATTCGTTGGAACCAAAAACCACGTCGTACGAGAAGCCAAAAATAACCCTCACTGAGCAGACATCAACTCTGCAGTATTTCGCACGAGCAAATGGCCTGGCACTTCTGGCTCAACATTTGCAACTTCATCATCCTACAGCGAATACTCCACCTGCTACTTCCTCATCTAGGTTGTAGTTTTTTTGCTGTTCATTGCAGAAATATTACGCTAAGATTCTGTGAATTAAGCTAACATTATTTGATCGAAATTTTACATGGTGTTATTGCTTTTTTAATATGTTTAGAAGCTGTCCGTTACATTTTTGTTTACAAGTTGTGAGTACATTAGATTAGTTGAGATTGCTTAAGATCTAGGAATATAAATCTAGTAAGGTCATTTACGATCTATGAAATTTCTACTTTTTCCACGTATCATGACTGATTTAATTAAATGTCAATAAGATGTGGATTTGATTTTATTGAAGTTTATTTTTAGTAAGGCAGCAAGAAAGCCAGCCGATCAGCCATGGTTAATGGAAATACCGGATTCATTTGCTGCAGCAGAGCTTGTGCCTCATTGTTATGCTTGTCCAACATCGATTTTTTCTTCCGAATCTGCAACTGGAGAACCAGTTTATAGTAGCTTATATGTACCTGTTTTTGGCGGTGAGACTGATCATAATTATGAAGACTTCGAATACATCGAAACTGTTGCATCAGCAGATGCCAAAGGATGGACGTATTATCCTTTGTTCTCGCAGACAGATAACTTTGGAAATTATGTGTTGGTCAGCCCTCGTTTCCAATTTTTACTGTCTTTTTTCATAAAACCACTACTGTTTAATATTATAAGACTCAGTTATACTATATTAGAACTTTTTTAGCCAAAAAAATCCCGAAGAGATATTTCCCAACAGAATAATCGGGTATTACCTACGGGATTATCCTCGTATGTGATTGTGGCTTTCAGTATTTTTTTAAAATTGGAAGGATATGCAGAATTATTAGTAACTTATGATCGTGGACGTGCTAAAAACCTTCTACGATTAGCGATGGGTGTTGTCACTCATGAAAGTAATAAATTTTATTATTTCCTTATGTTTAAATTTGGTTTAAACTTAACAGTGAGCTTTTTTTCATGTCGTTACTCAGTTTAGGTCATCTCTTGCTATTCATTATGCGACAATATTTACGACTTTTGTAAACATTTAATTTCGAGAGCCAATTTGCACTTATTTTTCTTGTCTGTTTATAGCATCAGCGGTAAGGAAATCAAATATATTTCATAAAATTGTTCACTTTAAATCGCAGTCGGATCAGAAATCGGATCACGAAAATCTTGGTTCATTACCATTTTTAGTTTTGGAGCAGTTATTCAATAAGTTTTCGACGGATACACTCGCTGGGAAGTATGTTTGCTCTAAATTTGAGCATATGTGCTGTACAACATTATGAATTAATATTTTCGTCGAAATTTTTATTTTCATACTATCATAACTGAAATTTTACTTTTCTGCTGTCATAAAAAAATATGTTTTTTTAGAGCCTCGCATAATGCCTATAGTTTTTTTAATGTATTTGTCTTCTTAAGTTATTTACATTACCAAAATTGTAACGCATTAAATGTAGTGTTTATCTTCAACAAAACAAGAATATAACTATTTCAGATCATTAAGAGAAGATGCAATAACATTCGGAGTTTTGGATGTTTTATTAGATTGTTTGGCTCACTACACACATCAAAAACATAAGGAAGAAACTATAAGACCAATGTCTTTCCCGCCAGCTCCGGAGGCGGTGTGTCTTGAAATTTGATGATAGCTGTAACTTGTTTTGCATTATATGCGGAATAACAACGTTAACACTAGTTTTGCAGGCTGTGTTATTTCGAAAATTATTGCAAGGCTCGATGGAAACAGAACCGTTACAGAATGAGAGAACCAATCATGGCAAGACTAGAGGTGAACGCGTAAATAGTTTTGGGAGTTCAGAATCAACAGTTGGACCTACTTCTACTGCGCAACACTCCTTCTGGGCTAAGGGCACTGGATTTGGAAGTGGCACTACGCAGCAGCAATGGAATGTTGATTTGCACGTTATGAAGAGAAAGCAAGACGAACAGAATGTTACTTATTTGTTGCGGGTATTTTTTATATTTTGTGTGAAAATGTTTGTATGGTTTTTTTTAATGGTTGCGTGAGAAATTGAATTTTAATGTTGTATTTCTAGTTATCTTAATAGTTACTTTGTTAATCAAGCTTGGTCCGGTTTATTCATGCAAAAATAAAAGCTTTTTTTGGTATAGATTTTGAAAATGATATCAGAATATTGCACTTTAATTCCAAAAAAATTTATGATCTAATTGGTCAGTTTCAGGTACTATCGAGCTTTATACATCCAAAAATCAGTGAATATCTTAAAATGCAGCTTACTACCGCATCTGTGATTAATCACTCCATATTTGCTCCTCTGACGTCTTTGGATTCGAATGATATGGAGTTCTGTGTTCAGAACACTGATGTGATGCTACCATCGCTTCATTCAGGTGAAGCATCAAAGTTTTCAAATATTATGATTGTAGTTTGTTTTTTTCTCTAAACACAATAATCTCTAGAAATGAAACGGTGTCGAATTTTTAAGGTAAAATTTTACGATCTGTAACTGTCTATGGTTATCTCGTAATTTCAAAGTTTAGCTTCTGCGAGTACCCTTAATATAGAAAACTCAATGAAGTAGCAAAATTAACCAATGCGATAAAGGCATTAAGCCTATTAAATCAAATTCTCCCAATTAAAATTGGTATAACAACTGGGATATTACCTAAGTACTATGGGTAATAATAACATAAACATGCTCAGAACCGAAAAACAACGATCAGGTCTGTGAACTACAAATTATGCGCTCATAATACATCTGATTTGCAGATTCATCGGTTCAGGATCTATCAGAAGAGGTTACACCAATTGTTTCATCAAGTTTTAGAGATTGGTCTCTAAACTCAGCAATAGTAAAAATGATATCTCGTTCTTGTTTGCTACCAACTATTAAAGCATATCTTCGAAATGATTCTGGTGTGTAGAA